CGTGGCATGGTTTCACGGGGTGCTGGGCAGTGCCAAACGCGCTCAGCTCACCGCAAGCGCCTGGGAAGGAATCGTAGGGCTCTGCTGGCGGGGTATCCCAGCGACACTGCCCCCAGGAGAAACGCAGTTTGTTTCATTTCGTTTTGAAAGTTAAAACTCCCCTCTGCGGGACAGGCAGGGCACGGTGCAGAACTCCTGACGCTCCTTTTTTTCACTTGCGATTTTTTTGGTTCACGGTGCCTGGAGTTGTGGTGCTGTGTTGTGAAAAAACAACATTCACACTCCTCTCGCTTTGGAGAGAAAGCCCCGAATCCCAACACTCGTGTGATTTGATCTGCGTTTGTAACCCTGAAGGAAGACACAACAGAAAACGTCCGTGAAATCCTCTGGGGACTTGGGTGCTGGGCTGGCCAGGGCAGCGTTAGGTGCTGCAGGGATGGAGGGCTCTCCCAAAATAGAGCCCACCAGGGAGCGCAGAGCGAGCTTCCCTGCACACTGCCTTTCCCACGGACCGTGCTCCCGTCAGCGCCGTGTCAGTGCTGCTGCCGGTACCTAAGCGCACGTGAAGCGGAGCCTTCCCTGTCCTGAGTGCTCTGGGCTGGAAAGGAGCTCTGTCAGGAGCCAGGGTGATTCCTCACGAACCTGCCGGCCCCATCTAAGCTGGGTTCAGCATACGTGCTGGGTGTTGAGACAAACCCCATGAGTTCTGCCAGGCTGAGGGATTTCTAATCAAGAGGAGACACAGAAACTGTCCCCTTGGTCTCCCGTGCTGCCATAAATCGGGAGCAAACCTGTAGAAGTCTGCGGAGCTGCTGTGGGGTAAAAGAGGAGGGGATCAGCTGGGGAATTTGGACCCTGGAGGACTGACATCAGGTAGCTGTGGTCGAGTGGCCAAGCCCCAGAGCACCTCCTGTCCCCACTGACTCCTGGCTTCCCACGCTCACAGCTCTCCGTGGAGATAAGCCTGGTTTCTGCTGAACTAAACACTGCAGTCTGGTTGAAAGAGAGAGGAACTGCTGGGAAGACCCAACAAAGCAGTCCCAGTGCTTCTTAAATGGCACCGGTAACTGCTTCTTACCCGTGTGCATGTGAGGAGAAGCAGGGGGTCTTGCTGGGAGCAGAAAGAGAGAGGAAAACCACAAAGATAGAAATAAAACTCAATCGTGAATACATGTTGGTGTATGAATACGCATGCATCTCCATGCCAGGGGCTTTGGAATAGAACTTAGGACTGGATTTGGTCTTTGTGTTTTGCAGTGGAATGTCCGGTCCCCGTGCTGATTTGGTGACACAGATGAGCCCAGCTGATCATTTGGTTATGCAAAGACATGTAAAAAAGCAAAGAAACACCAACAAATGCAGCACAAAATCCATTACAGTTCTCCCAGGCTATTTATTAGCTCTGCGCTGAGCCGAGATGATTAAGCCTGTGACAAATCGCATACTTAGCTTTCCAGCTTCCTTATTTCTGGGCAGAATTCACTATGCATCAGCCTAGATCTGTGTTTACATGTGTGCTTTGTGTTTTTTTCTCTCTTCTGTAGACAAAATGGCAAGAAAACACTGCCCAGCTTTTTTGGTATAGAAGGAGGGCAGGAGAGAGATACAACCACAGACAAAATCCTGCAATATATTCCAGGAAAGGCAAGTACAAACACATCCGACTCCCCTCCCCACTGCTCCCAGAGATTTTTCCCACCCATCCCAAGGACAGCTCTCTGCATAAGAGAGACGATGCGATGCATCCGGATCACGGGGTAGCAGCAGGAAGAGATGGAGGTCACATCTGCAGCCCAGGAAGGGATGAGCCCTGTGCCCTTCACGGCAGCAGAGCTGGCTGCCCCAGGGTCCCCGTGCAGGTGTTGAGGGGACCTGCCATCAGCCAAAATGTGTGAGATGGGGTAGGAGGGTGGTGCTGAGAGTAAAGGAGGCGGCGTGGTGGGAATGTCTCACACACCCCTTTGCTCTTGGTTCTTTCATTTCTGGGTTGCCCGTGAAGGAAGGGAAGCGAGCATTCAAAGGTGGGATGATTCATTCCCACGCTGGAATGAGACGGAGCAGGCAGTGTATTAGCAATAAGCCCTGGAAGGTAATCAGGAAGGGCAAGTCTGTCCTAGGCACGTACCAGCCTTGTGGCCATATGGCCCATTTCCCAGCACTGGTCAGGGAAAGCAGAGGTGAAACGATGAACCCCAGTATGTTTGCTTGGTCCCTTTGGGTGGGCCAGGGATGTGGACCGAGCCTCAGGGCCTGTTGGGCTGTACTGTGCATGGATCTCCTACACTGCTTGACAAACAGGCTGTGTGGATATGGCAGACGGGGAAACTGAGGCAGAGACTCACAGCTAGACAGAGGAAATTTCAGAGAAGGTCAGTGGCAGGACGTTATGCTCAGGTTTCAGGCTGCTGGCTATGTGTATTTCACTGGTGATGAGGTGCTTGACAAGGGCTTGGTGTACTGCAGAAGCCAGTTCAGAGCAGCCTTGGTCATGTACTTTGGGTTGCTACAGAGATTCAAACATCTGCTCCCCACAAGGGACCCTGCAGTCCCTTTCTATTCAGCTGCTCCCACGTTGGCCCTTTCCAACCCGAAGGATCTTTTCTCTTCCTCATGTGAGCCTGAGTAGGGAGCAGGATGGGATCCTACTCCTGGCTTGTGAGGTGGCCATGGGTGAGCACCGTCCTCTTTGTTGGGGAACACGTCCTGGACCGTACAGGTGGGAAGCACAGCAGAACGGAGACTGTTTCACAGTCCTGCCTGTTATTTGTGAAGGAGGGTAGTGGGCATATGGCGTGGGCATGGTTCCCTGCGGAACTCAGCTGGCACCTAGAAGGATTGGGAAGCACTTGATGGGACCAGGCCCCATACGGATCCTGGATACTTCCCCTGGGGAAGAAGGGGGAGCTGGCATGTGAGCGGATGCTGGAAAACGAATCCTACAAGCTGACAGAGCAAAGGTCGCGGCGAGATTGTTCATCCAGGAGCACAAGAGAGTGTGGGATCGCTTCAAGGAAGGAAGGAGGGTGGAGCAGTTGTTTAGATGTTACCCTTGCCTGGGGCAGATGGGATTCAAACTCCCTGCTCAACCACAAGCTTCTTGTGTGGCCTGGAGAAAACCTCGGCTTAGTCCCTTTCCCACTCCTGTCTTTTCAAGAGAAAACACCTCCGAGAGCAGGAGGTGACCCGGTGCTGTGGGGCCGGGATAGAGAGGAGCCGTCAGTGTGGGACTCTTCTGATGCAGCCTCAGAGGAGATGGGGTCACCAAACACCTGGGCACGGTTTGGGACTGGGACGAGTGACATCCCTGAAAACCAGCCCCCCCCAGGATCCTGCCACAGGCAGCTGGCACACAAAGCCAGCGCCTTTGCTCCCACCAGCCTTCTGCCCTGTTTCCCACACTTCCCAGTTAAGGCTTGGGCGAAGCCTAAGCAGAACTGAAGGGAAGGATGTGCCAGAAGAACCGTGCTTCTCATTTGCTTCTTTTATCATTAAATAGCAGCTTTCGGAGCCCCGGGGCACCAGCCTTGCAAGGCTGAGCTCTTCCTGCTGCCAGGGTTGGTGATTCAGCTGGGAGTCACTGGGGGCTGCAGGGGCTGAGGCAGGTTAATTAACTTGCTCTACCTGTAGGATGAGGCATCGGAGACAGAGGGAGAGAGCGAGAGAACATGTCGGGGCACTTGCACTGCCGGAGACCTGCTGCTTCGCCAAACCCTGAGAGAACCCGGGTTTCCAAGGATCTGCGCTGCCTCGAAGCCAGCGGGATAGCTGAGCTAACGGAAACAGTGCTGGGGGAGGACAGTGTGTGCCACCAGCACAGCCCAGCCAGGGGAGTTAACTGTCTGGGGAGGATTTCTGGGGGATGACAAATGGTAGTTCCCTTTCATTTTGGCTGCACCCTGAGGCATCCCCATGGTTTCGAGGGGTGCATGGGCCGAGGAGGCAAACAGGAGAGACTTGCCTGGTAAAAAAGAACCAAAAAAAAGCTTAACAGTCCCACTTCTTCCTGCACAACCACAAAACCTGCTCAAGAGTGATATACTAGGGCTTGAAAGACTGGTGTGGCACGGGTGGTTGGGGCGTGCTGCGTGGGAGCACGCCGCTGAAAGGGTGGCAGGAGATTTCGGTGACGTGATCTCGGTTTGTCCGTGGCCTCAAAGATGCCCCCACACTTAGCCACTACATCCAGCTGTCTTCTCAGTCTTGCTGCAAACCCTGGCTTGTTTGGGAGAGGGAGGTATTCCGTTTAATTTGTTTCTTGCCACATGAGCAGCAGCAGTGGAAGCTCTGCCTTTCCCTCCTGACCCTGCGAGGATCCCTGTGGAAGCTGGTGGGTAGCCAAAACTACTGCTGGATTCCCAGCTCCCAGGTTGCTTTTGCTTCTCAGGGCCTTACTTATTACTGGGGAATTAGGCTGCCACGTTCCAGGCAGCAGTGTTGCCCAGGCAGCTGGTAGCCAGCATTGCTGCTTATCGCTGGGTCTGTAATTTCATTGCTTTGTCCTTTCCCTGCTCCCTGTTGCTGGTTGCTGCCCTTATCCGAGCAGTGGTTTTGCTGCCACAGCTGTCAGGTGATCAGCTGCTCTTTGTTCTGACAGCGGCTTGTAGCACAAATGTAATCTTCTCCTGTGCTTAATTGCCTCTCAGTGAGACCATTAATTGACAGCCAGCAGGTCCCCAGCTCCAGGGGAGGACCTGGGGACTTGTTCACAGGGACTGCCTGGAGCCAGCTGGAAAGCTGGAGGGAGACTTTGAGCAGACAAAGAGTTGACTTGTGTCCTAAAAAGAGTTACCCAAGTTCAGTGAGGCTCTGGAAGGGACCCCAAGCTTTGCAGGTGAAAGGGTCCCGACAGCATTAGGTTCCTGTTACTGGTTCACCCGCTCCCCTCTGTCCCTGGCGTGGGTACAAGAGGGGTTAATCTCATGCCGAAGGGGTGAGTCATGGAGGCCCCAGCAAGACAGATCTGGTTAGCTCTGCTGGCTCCTCATTCATCATGGGGCTTATGCAGCTGTCTCCTTGGCACGGCGCACTGGGAACGGGCACCCGCGGGCCGGGCAGGTTGGGCGGCCGGGGAGCGCTGGCTGCTGGAAGCCCCTGGCTGAGCCCTGGCAGCCCGCTCCCTGCTCATTCCTGGAAATGATGTTTGGAGAAAAGCGTATGAGCACCAGGGAGCCACAGGCCACCACCTCCAGCACAGCCATGTCCTCACTGGGACGTATCCCCAGGAAACGCAGCCACCAGTGCTCGCAGTGGGGTCCCACCGAGGTGGCCTCGCAGCCTGGAGGCTGAGCAGCAGGGCAAACCTCACATCTCCCGTTTCTTCACCACTCAGTGCCTTGCAGCTGCATTTATGGCTGTGGGACTCTGCCTTAAAATTGTCTGGGCACTGGAAACAACAGACTCCTTCTGGAGAAACTGAGCGATCCAAGCAGATGGGAGAGCTAAGGAATCCAGGTGGAACTGGAGCACAGAAAACCTTTCCACTAACCCCAGAGGAAGGCAAGCTGTGTTTGCTTAGCCTTGATCAGTCCTTGTTCTAGTGAATTTGATTAGGATGGCAGGAGGTTGGCTGTGGAGTTGGGAGACCCTAAATATAGGATGTGCGTTTGCACCCCCTCTTTGCTGCCCCAGGAAACCTCCTTTTAGGTCAGTATCTCCCCCTGCCTAGGGAGGACAGCCTCCCAGCAGTAACCAAACCCCAGCTCCGTGCTGGCATGGAGACCCAACAACAAACAGCCTGGCCCGGGCACCTGCCCAGGACCCCTGTCTGAGGAAGCCCTTCTGGGAAGATGTTCTGGGAATGTCTCTTCCAGACATCAGGCCCCGACCTCCCCACTAGCCCTGATTTGTTTTCCCTGAATCCTTGGTACAGAATATTCAGAACCAGGAAAACCAGAAAGAAAACTTGGACCAGAGGTTCCCCAGCCTGTTCAAGAAGGGACGAAGGAAAACGGTTGTCAGGAATCTGGGCAAAATGATCTATTACTCCAAGGTCAAGTTTAAGTTCCAGCACTGCCAGGTAAGCTGCGGCACCTGTTTGTGGGCGTTTCTCTTCCCAGGCGCAGGGTGACCCTGCAGGACTGGGAAGTAAAGTGTAATTTTGGGAAATGTGACTCACAGAGACTTCCTCAGGCTACTGCGTGGCCCAGAGACTTCTGCTGCCACGTGGTGCATGGGTACCGATTGGTGCCCACCGGCTCCCATCCCAGCGGGGACCTGGGCCGTGCTTCCGTGCTCAGCTTCTGGGATCTGGCAGCAGATCCATCAGCAGAGATGCAGTGGTGGCCCTTCGATGAGCGACTGCTGGTTTTTCTGTGCTGAGAGCAGTCTGAGATGCAGAGGGAAGCTGGGAGGAGGAAGGCATCCTGAGATAAACCCCAAAAAGTGTCTTTTCTGCAGGAGGTGAATGACTGCTTCTTGGAGCTGTTCCAGTCTTACCTGTACTTCCAGTCTATGGGCTCCAATGGACTCACCTACCAGGTAGGGCATCTCCTGGACAGGCCGAGGCAAGCACCGGGAAGTCGGGCAGTATGGCCAAGCTGGGGGTTCTAGGTGATCTCAGCAAGTCCCTTCCCGTGGATGCCAAGCTCCTGGGGAAGGAGAGCATTTCTTCTGAAGGACTGTACCCAGACAACCTCAATTTCACCTGGGTCCTTGGTCTTGCCTGTGGGCAGAGATAAGGGACCCCATAGAGGTGGGATAGGGGCTTGTGCAGGGCTGGCAGGCAGGACCCCAGGGGTGGGAGGCGTGTAGGCTACCTGGACTGATCTTTGTGTAGAGCACCAGGTACAGAGAGCTGTGCCTTGGCGTGGGTCAGAGCTCCTGTTGCTCAAAATCCCACTGGCCTCACTGCCTTGGCCCTGGCTTCTGAACCAAGGAGTTCTTCATCTGCATGGCTGAGGAAGAGGCATGCAAGAAAGAGTGGAAGGAAGAAGCTGAGGGCAGCCTTGGGGAGCTATCCTGGCAAACCATTCCTCAGTCTTTTAACCTGATGATGCTGGTGAATTGCAAACAATAGGATGTTTTGCACATGCAGCCAAAAATTTGCAGCTGAACAAAGAGGAAGCCCTGAATGCACTCTCCGTCCATGGGAGTAACTGAAACGGAGCGTGGCTGTTTTGTAGATATTCGTAAAATCTGTTCCTTTTAGAAATTATTTATTGTCTTCCAGGTGACTTGAGGTTAATGCAATATGTCAATACAATCTCTTGAGTCATCCAGCAATCCAGCCTTCAAGTGGAAAAACACATGTCAGAATACCAACAATATTACAAAATCTCCCACCTACTTTATAAACAGCTCCTTAGATTATTAATTCTAGAGGAATTAAAAAGGAATTAATGTGCCAGTTCTGGCCCCTAGACATTACAGCAATTAGCATCTTTTACAGCCCTTGTTTAGAAAGCCCAAGACAGGGAGCACAGACTTGTCATCTGTTCCTGTGCTTCCTTATAGTGGGACTCTGATGAACTGGAGTACAGAAACCAGACAGCTCAATTTTGCTTTATGGTCATTTCCATCTTCTGGCTTTCTTGTGTTAAACCAGTGCTGTTTTGCTGAGCTTGGTCTTGAAAGACTTGGAATATAAAGAAAGCATTCTTGCCAGCATGGCAGCTGACTACTGCAGTACTGGCCCCACAGTGCTGAACCTGCTTCCTCTGGGGAGTGTGCTAGATCGGAATCCCAAATGTTTCCCCTCAGAGCAACGTTTTGCAGTCTAACTTTGTGAGCCACAGCAACCTGCTGGTGCCCAGTCTGGGCTTTCAGTCTCCTACAGCAAAGGGGCATTAATTGCAGAGCCTGCCTGTGGGCTGCCCCCCAAATAATGGTGTGTTCTTCTTATGCAGGGGCTGCTGCCTTTGAAAGAGCTGATTGTGTGTGAAATTGAGAATGGGAAGAGCACTGGGCAGGAAGATCACGCCTTCCGCATCGCAGGTTCGTGCCTCTTCGTTTGCTTTGAACAGAGGAGACAGTCGTATGAATCAACGACTCTCTGCTCTTTGTCCTGCTCTGACCTAGTTCCAGAGAAAAAACACATGGTGCAAAGGTTGCAGAGAGCTGAAGCTCTTCCTCCTGGTGTTTGCATCCTTCCCTCCAAGGATGTTCTGTTCCTAAACACCTGGACAGTGATGCCCAGGGCTGCAGGCAGGGAAGGGACCGGATAGGGAGTGCAGAGGAAGGATGGTCCTGTGCTCTGGCTGCCTAGTACTCGGGACACATGGTGACAGCCCCCACCTCTGCCCAGTCAATTGCTCTTTGTGCACCACATCTGAACGAAGGAATGGAATAAAACTCCTCTCCCACCTCTGTCGCTGCACAAACGCGGAGGCCAGAGCGTGACTCTGAGCAGGGATGCCTGCAGTGCTGTGTGTGCTGATGTGTGGCACTGCTCGAGTACACAGGGCAGGGACCCTGCTGAGAGGTGAGTCGCCTCTACCAGTGATGCCAGGCTGGTGCTACCAGGACCCAATGTCACTTCACCGATTCCTCCCTCCCCAGCACTCCTGCCTCCACAAACTTTTAAAACTTTTCTCTAAGCAGTCTTGCTTGATAAAAGTTTTCCTGGGATAACGTGTCTGCAGCTTGGCTGGAGGATTCTTTGGGCTTAGTCATTGCTGAGTTACAGCAGTTGCAACGCCCCAAGAGTAGTAGTTATAGCATGAAGTACACAGAAATAAGTAAATAACCCAGTAACGATAAGAGAGCCAAGAAAGCTCATTTGTGTCCTAGTCCCAGTGTCTATGTTCTCTGGTGTCCTCTGTTAAAGTTATGCAATGGCCACTGAACCAAAAAATTTACCTAAATTATAAAAAGGAGCTGGTACAAATGACCCATTAATTTTAAGGATTGCTGAGTTGTGGTCTTGTTGCCTCTACTAGGCAGGGCTCTTCAACCTTTTTGGGAGTCTCTAAACTGATGGAAAACTTCTCCCAGGCATGACCTGTCAGGGGCATCTGCGCTGGGGTGGGTGGACTTGTTCTGCTTGTATTGAAACACGCAGGAGTATGGCTGGGTGGAAAATTGCCTCGAGCTTTGTTGGGTTTGTGTCCTGCTTAGGGAGAGATCAAACCAAGGCCTTTCTGACAGAGAGTGCTGGATATATCAGGTAGTAGTGACCCAAAGAAACCAGGGAGGTAGTGATATTTAGGATTGCTGGGAGAGCAGTACAGCAGGTTTCTTTTTCTGCTAGAGGGGGATAAATCAAAGCATGGAGAGGATAAGAGCCTTGTCTGTGGCTACACACAGGGTCAGGGTGGAAGTCTTGTCCCGTGACTCTGAGACACAGCAGACACAAACCTATTCTCTTGTGAAATCCCGTGGCAACAGTAGTTTCCCATGAACTGCGCTTTCTAGGGTAGTTCAGTACATCAGAAGATGCCACCACGTTCATTGGAAGGGTGGAGGTGGAGCGTGAGAACGAAGCCTGGCGGCGTGCAGAGCTGTCCCTTGGTGCACGGGCACGGAGAAGGGGCTGGCAGCTCCTTGGCTCTGCGCTCCATCTCCTGCACAGCCTCTGAGGCTCCTAGAGTTACCTCTGCCTCACCTGCAAACGTTGCAGCGTTTTAGTGTCTCTAGACAGAGAGATTTGTCTGGGAATAAACTGCTGCAGCTCCAGGAAGGGGCTTTCTTGCCTCTGATTTTCCTCTGGACGCGTTCGCAAGGAAAGAGGAAGGACGGGGCAGAAGGAAAGAGCACGAGGGCACAGGTTGCTCAGCGTGGCTGTGTCACAGCCCTGCCGCAGACGTGCCCTTGGGGCTGGGGGAAACGGCAGCAACCGAATTAGCAGCAGGCTTTCATCAGGCTCTGCTTCCCAGCCTCTCCAGCAGCTCCTTGCACGAGCTTCAGGCATGTTTGAGGCTTAGGCAGGAGTTTCTCTTCTTGTTTTCTCTTCCTCTGGCGCTCTGTTTAGATGTGGCAACGCCAGCAGCCCTCAGGATACGTCTGAAAGGCTGGCCTTAGAGGAGGTGGCAGAGCAAGCAGTGCCATGTTAAGGGTCATGCCCTACCAGCAAAATTCCTGCGGTTTGTGTAAGGGCCTGGATGCCCAGAGAAGTATCGAGAGCTGCTGGAGTATCTAGATAACACTAGCACCTTTATACCCTCCTAGCAACTCTGTAAAGCAGGGAATCACTTTATCTCCATTGCAAAGACAGGGAAACCAGGGCAAGAGGAGACAAGAGAACTCCAGAGCCGCAGTGGTACATAGGCACTTGGATGCCCAGTAACGCTTGGCTCTTAATCACTGTGATGGATCTGAGCAGAATGACTTATGGAAAGTCACTCAGGGAGTCTCTTGCCTCAGTTTCCTCACCTCTGCTTTGTCTGTATTAGTGCATTTCCTGACAGACAGAGGTGTTTCAAAGTCTTAATTAACTGTTTTTCATAAATAATGCAGGGATTATGGAATGAAAGACTCTACAGAAGGGCAAAGTATCTTGCTTATTCAGTGCACTTGCTTATCTGAATACTTCCAAGTGCCGCAAAGGCAGATCTTACTGAGCATGCACCAAATACAATTTAATATGAGATCACTGGTAAATTATTAATCCAAGAACACATTCTGCAGCCTGCCAGAAACGATTATTAATGTCACTAGGTTATGTCTGTAGTGACAAAAGTCTGTGGGACGTTTTTGCTCGTGCTACTAAGTGAATGATAGCTAGAAACATTAAAATCAATAAGATACAGGGCTGTTCCTCCCTTCCAGAGTATGTCCAAGAGCAGCTTCAGCTTGTCTGGCACAGATTATGTTTGGTGAAGGAACAAATAAACAGTGTCAGAAAGCTACTGATGTTCTACGTATTGAGTGCCAAAGTGAAACTAAGAAATAGCATGAAACTTTTGCGTTGAGTTAGGCTGTCTGCAGCGACATGTTGTGATAGTCTCTGCCTGCAGAGATGCTTTTCACAAACTGTTGGAGACTTTTAAAGCTGAAAGCGGTCTGTTGATTTCACACTTGACTTTTGTACTGTCTTTGATTTTTGTTCTTGGCCTGGTTTTGGGCTGAAAAGTGATTGGTGGCCAGAGCTAGATGCAGGTGCATGAGCAGGTGGTGAGAAGTTGCTGGAGCAGCCCCTCCTGGGGAGCTCCCCAGCAGCCTGATGCAAGGCAATGTGCTCCAGGTAGCAGCAGGAAGGGCTGGAGCGTGACGGCAGCAGAGCCGTGCGCTTGCAGGCAACCCTTGGTCTCGTGATGAGTGTAACAGCTCTGGCAAGCTGATTGCTTGTTGATACTGCAGTTGGTGCCCTTACCATCTCGTGTCTCGCATACCTAGGTCCTCTGCTGAATCCTCTTATCGTGTTCTGCCCTACTGAGTCAGAGCTGAAGCAGTGGCTTTATCACCTGGAGAAACAGATCCAGCTAAACGGAGGAGGAAGCCTTGGCTTGCCCTTCCTCTCTCAGGTTAGTGTCTTGGGACGGTGAGGCACGCAGCTGTCTCCATGCTGTGGGCTCACAGCTGAATGATCGGAGCCGGTTGGGTGGATGCTGCACTGCTCCTGCTGCATTAGGTGGGAGGGATAATCCCTGCAGCCAGCTTCTCGCGGCCATTTTCATCATACTTCCAAGTGCTCAGCTAACACCTTCCTCTCCCAGTATCTTGAGTGCCCCACAGGGCTCTGGTTGCCTTCTCCGGGCTGGAGAGCTTGGGCTGGGGATGGAAAGGGAAAGGGGCTCTTGGTCCACTGCCAAATGCCCCTTGCTGTGCTTGCTGCTCTTTCACAATGTTGGAAGGTGTGGCGTTTACTCCTGGCATAATCTCCTTTTCCAGGCCAGCTGCTTGAGTGCATCCCTGCACCAGGCAGGGAGGTGCCCCTCCGGTGCAGTGCACAGGGTTTTGGTGCTGCTCGTGCCACGTCCAGCAGCTGCCAGGGCTGTGCACGGTCTGTAATTCAGCCCTTCTGATGCATGGCGATTGACCCCTCTGTGCCAGCAGCACGTACCAGCCTTGCCAGAGCGCTGGCCTGGGCCAGGGCAGCAGCGTGGCAAGGGCTTCTGTGTTGCCCCGGCTGCCCGAGGCACCTGCCTGTTTGCCCATGCCTAGAGCTCGCTGCATGGCTGCTGCGTGTATGCACACACACTGACGTCTCGATTTGGAGCTTGCCTTTTGTGCAGTGTTCTGCGAGGGAAGGGTGCAGAAAGAAGGGTGCATGGCAGGATGTGTGTGCTGAAAGGGAGACCTGGGAGCCAGAGGTGCCAGCACTATGGCCTCTGAAGGGTCAGAGGTTTGGGTCTGGCTCAGAGGAATTTTCATGCAGTTCACTGCTTGTGCAATTATCCAGAGTTTACAAAACATTTGGAGGAGGAGACTGGGACCAGGGCTGAGAAAACAGGACTGGATGCAAGAGACCTATCTTCTCCTCCAGTCTCTGCAGGGTGTTTTACTTCCCTCCCTGTTTCCATCTCCCCACTTGTAATACAGAGGTATTCCCCTTTGAAAGGCAATGTACAGACGAGGCTAGGTGCCAAGTATGATTATTCAGTCCCAGCTGGAAAATTGGCTCCTGCACAGATTTCTGTACTCTTTCCTGCTTCTGCCACGCCTGAAAAGTGTCCTGAGATGGGCCATGCCCCAGCTAAACTCTTAGGGGAGGACATGTCTACCCTGCTCCTCAGTTCTGCTCCTGTCCCTAGGATGACTGGAAGCAGAGCTCCATGGGGAAGGAGGAGCTGCGGTGGTCCGTGCAAAACATGCCTGTCCAGGAGTGGAGGGGAACCCAGCGGGAATCCCTAGGCAATGTCCTCTGTGTTTCCAAAGTGAAGCTTCAGCATCTGCCTTTCCAGGTAGGACACGTCTCTGGGGAGCAACCTC